TCGGTTGGAATCAGCTTACAATGTAAACCGGGCTTTCTACACAGCATAAGGACATCAATATATATCAGAAAGTGTAATATAAATTTGGAGTGATTTTGAAGCCATTTTTCTAAAAAAAGCATAGGCTATATATAGACAGTACAGGCCTATAGGGTATTTTTCAGAAATTAGCATGCAAACATGTACATGCTTATTAATGTTATTATGTTTTTATTTATTTCTATTTTATTTTAGCTCCTATCATTGGTCATGTTGGTGATGGTAACTTCCATTCAATGTTACTAGTATCAAATGATGAAGAACTATCCATTGCTAAACAACTAGCTATCAACATGGCAAGGTGAGCTAGTATTTAAATAGTATTCATAATAATGACCTCTCTTAATGGACACTCTCTATAGTGTACACCTCCATTTAACAGACAGCACCTAGTGTACCAATTACATTCCTTACTGTATAAAATAACCTCTACATAAAGGACATCTCTGTATAACAGACACTTTCTTGACCCAAAGTGTCCATTATATAGAGGCTACACTGTACATGTAGTTAATTGTAAATGCCTCAACAAGTAGAAAGTTTGACTACTCAAATGACAATATTTATATGATGATTATTTATTCTGTTATAGGAGAGCATTAAAAGTAGGAGGTACATGTACAGGTGAACACGGGATAGGACGTGGTAAGATGACACTATTGGAGGAAGAATACGGACCCACTGGAATACAAGTAATGAAGAATATCAAACAATCACTGGATCCTAATGGAATCATGAATCCAGGGAAGATCATACACATACAATAATAATATGTGTATACCAGTACATTATTATCAACAGTAATTCAATTTCAATTATTTTCATCGCTTTGTTAGTCTATTAAATTTTATTCTACCATGCTTATTCGTAGACTTGTATTTGATCAATCCGATTATTTGATTTCAAACACAATTCACAAATGAAATTATTTAATAAAGAAAATAATTTAATAGTGATAGCAACAATTAAAATTAATTACAAGCACATAACAAGCAACCGTGCTGCATTATTGGAATACATTCACTATTGGTAGTGGTTTATGTGGCTGTTCTTCTTTGTGTCTATTAATCAATGTCTTCTTTTGATCTTTAAGTAGGCCTATAAGTGGATGATTGTTAAAAAACAATTCACTGGATATAGTAACATATTTAAGTGATGAATGAAAGAAAGCAGTTTCTTGTAAATGTAGTACAGATTCTATCCAGTTAGTTTGAAATACATTTAATGATGGGTTAGTAATGATGCTACACCATATCCTCAGTAGTCTGATGGTTGTATGTGACTGTAACATGTTAGTAACAGCAGGTAGTACCTGTTCATAAAACAATAGTCTCATTATTTGTTCCTTCTCTTCCTTACTACAGTTATTGTATGACTGATCTGTTGTAAAGCTCACTTTAAGCTCTGTGAGATTGTTCTTTTGAGAGATGACATTAATAAAAGTTATTATCTCTTTATTCAGTGGAATGAATACACTCAACTGCTGTAGACTGGTGTTGTGTCTGAGACCAGTTGTTAGGAAGGACAGGAATGAGTTGGGAATGCCATTATACCAGTCATTATTAATCTCAAGGTATTTCAGTGTTTGGTTTTGTATTAGCATGTCTTGTAGACTAGTACCCATACTGCTGGTATATACTCTCTCCTTTATCCCCACACTCAGAGCTTTAAATGTAGTATTGGTTTGTAGAATAGTAAATAGTTCAATAGCACTCTCAGCTGTGTCTAGTGGTAAAGTAAGTGTATGTAGACTGGGATGAGAGAGAAATAGAATATATGGTAGCAGGTATGGATCATGTAGTATCAGACAGTATAATCCTTTGATATGTGGAAGGAGTGATAATGTCATCAGTTCACTACTCCACCATCCTCCTCCTATCTCTAGAG